CGATTAGATCGCGAGGACTGCTCTGCCGTGCTAAGGAAGAACGACGTATGAGCATACAAGAGTTGCCAAATTTCCTTTGATGAAACACGAATTTTTGGCGACATTCATGCATATTTGTCCTTGAAATTTTCGGATATTTTAGATTAAATCGCGTACAATATTGTTAGAAAATTTTGGAAAATAATATTCGCAATTTTCCCAGTAAATTCGGTTTTTATCGGAGGAAACTTGGCAACGTCTGAAGGCTCATACGGCGTTCTTCTTTAGCTCGGCCGTCCTCGTTTTCGCCTTTCATAATTTCGCCGAAGGGTTTATTATTAAACACGGGTGTAAATACGGGCAGGGCACTTCCTCCCCCGTTTTCGGACCGCGGTTTTGTGAGGGCGATGATGCAAGCTGCGAATACCGCGATTCGGAGACCCGCTCTCCTCTTTCGTCAGCGAGTTGGTGGACGCAGGGTTGCCGCAGTCAGGGAAAACCGGGAAATGTCAGGGAATTTTACAAAGTCAGAGAAATAAGAAGTGAATACGTCCTGTAGCATTGCCTTTTTCATAAAAAAATCATAACAGAAGGTGATTTGAGGGCCTATTTCGTAGCTTCCCGGACGAAAACAAGTTACTCCATTCCAAGTATTTCCAAGGCTGTGAAAAATTGACTCAAAAAGTCATTTTCTGTACAAAATTTCATGATTTTTGCATGAGATCAACCGAAAAATCAGTATTATTTTCAGTTTTAAATGCCCAAGATTTTCCTGATAAAAATTCAATACGTCGGGTAAAATTTTGCAGTATTGAAATGTAGTTACGATCGACCATGACGGAAACGACGATTTCACATAGAACGGCGATTTGAGTCAATCCAACCCCTCACAACCAGTAATGTTTTGAGACTGTTATAATAGAACATGCACACGGAGAAAAACAACCTCGTGCGTGGGACCCGAAGTTTAGGTCGTATGGATGTCTGAAGTTTTCGGATTGAGCATCCGAACACTTTAGGTCTAGCTGTGGAGGTTCGGATCACACATCTGAAACTTCAGTTCTTACATCTGAAGTACTTCAGTTGTGAGAACCGAAGTTTTTCGGATGTGAAAACCGAAGTACTTCAGATGTAAGAACTGAAGTTTCAGATGTTTGATCCAAACCTCAGCAGTTGGACCTAAAGTGTTCAGATGCTCAATCCGAAAACTTCAGAGATCCATATGACCTGAACTTCGGGTCCCACGCACGAAGTTTTTTTCTCCGTGCATGGGACTTTTGGAGCACTCTGCTGTAATCCACAGGGTCGGGGCTCTACCTCACAGGACCGGAGCCCCCGGCGGCATGGAGTCCCCTTTCCGCGGTGAGCGATGCCTCGATGATGGATCGCGACGGGGATCCGTCTGCGGGTGTGACGGTGGTCGCGGTCCGCCAACGCCGCCGCGGGAATCGAGTTCAAAGTCATCGCGACGCGCGGCGGAAAACGAAAATCCGCGCCCGGGTGAAGACGAACTTGGCCGGCCCCCAAACCGCGAGAGTGAACTACAAACGGCACCTAACCTTAGCCGCCCCTCCTCCCCACGGGGTGATTAATAGCCCTCGGAATGCAGGTCAAACGACGGAAGCTCTGCTTTGATGATCTGGTCCTTTGAGCTACTCTTTTATTTTTCCCCGCGGCTCTGGTCCGTCATCCGTCCCCCGGCGAGAAAAATCAAGCGGGGTCTGTCCTCTCTGTCTCTGCAGACAAATCGACGATGAGGACGAGGAGCAGACGAGGGGGGGGGGAGTGGTTGACACCCCTCTCCCCGCCGTCCTGTGTTCAGGGTGTCTGCAAGTCTTGAATTTCCAGAAAGTCCGGACGTAGTCCTAATTGTTTAAGGTCGGTTCGGAAGTACTCAAAAAGTACGGAAATTCTGCAAGAAGGTCCGGATTTTTTTTTCTTTTTTGTCGCAATTTGAGCGAGAAATTTAAATTTTTGAAATTCTTCAAATATCGTCAAACGGAGGTACTGAAAAAGTACGAATCTTTGTATTAAGGAGGCACTGAATTTCTTGGGAATGTATTGATAAAGTTCTGTAAAAGTACTGATTTTTGGCATGTCTGTTTTAGTAGACACGCTGGTGGCAGTGATGCCTCACTGGTACTTGTCTCTGGGAGCAATTTGCCCCTCATAAAATAAATTTGTAAAGGAGAATTCCGGGCTTTTCGAACGTAAGGTTTCACTGTTTCTCGTTCTCATCTTCAAATGCGAAAATGAGAGAAAATTCAACAAAAACTGTACTGGTATATTCTTGTTAAAAAATTGAATTGTTTTGGTCAATTTTGCAACCTTGGAATAGGGTTGTGTTCTTTCCCCCGGAAACGAAGATTTAGGTAAAATTCCCGTTTTGAACCACGAGCTGACTTCGCTCAACTCACTTTTTACGAATTAGTATGAATACGCCACTTGTAGTAAAGGTGGCCTCTCCGAATTTTTGCAGGCATGACCCCCTCTGAACCGTAGAATGCAGGTTTGGCGCGCTCAGGCGGTAGGCGGGTCCTCAGACCAAAGGTCGGATCGAAAGGGGCCTGCGCAAATGATCGATCGTCGATATTTACCCATTTAAACCTATGGTAAAAAATCGATTTTTAAGGTGTTCGTTGCGAACAACCTGCTTGTCGATCATTTTCCGTAGGTTTAATGGCAGATCAATCGATGTATCGCAAGGCACGCCACGGCAGCGGGCGGGCCTGCGCCCCACATGGTTCATGCATGGGCAGAATGTTGCAACGCAGGGTGACTGATGAAGGTCAGGCGGAAGATGGAAGATGGGCCCATTCGTTTGAGAGAGCGGTGCCGGGATCGGGCGGTGAGGCCGGCGGCTCAAAGGCTCGGACGAGATCGGCCCGACTCGGGTTCCCCCGGCGCAACCGGTTTCCCGGCCGGTGTCGATGCCGGCTTCCCGTGTTACGAGTTACGACTGGGGCACGCCGCCCCGCGCCACGGCTTATGTCTCCCGCTCACGCCCAGGGTTGCCGTTGTCGCCCCCGAAATCCGGAGATGAGTCTCAAGCTGAAGATAGAGTGGGTAGAGTGTCTTTATAGGGAGAGACAGGGTTGCCACCGTCAGGGACAACCGGGAAATGTCAGGGAATCTTAAAAAGTCAGGGAAAATGACGAAAATGTCAGGGAAAAGTTGTCAAGTAACCTTTACTTGCTTTCTAGAATGAGTTCGAGGTTTCGAACAACAAATTTTGCCTAAAAACTGTGTTCAATTACATCTTCTTAACCATCCGTCACATCTTCAACTGTCAGGAAATTTCACCAAAATGTGTCAGGGAAATCAGGAAAATGTCAGGAAATTTCACCCAAAACCCTTAGCGTGACACCCTCAGCGTGACACCCTTAGCGTGACACGGTGCGCTTATGATTTTATACTATAGAGTAAGAAATGTCAGGGAAATGTCAGGGAATTTCATTTTCTAAATTCTGTGGCAACCCTGGAGAGAATGGACAACTCGAAAATTCGGAGGTTCGGTTTGATCAGGTCATTTAGCTTTTGGGGCCCAAAAGGCAGCCAACCTATGAACTATCTATAACTCGAACTATCCAGTGTTACTAATTTAAACTCCGAGAGCAGCTACACTGCATAAAAATCATAAAAGTGCGTGTAGAACTTTGATTCCTCATAAATTTTCTCAGTTTCTAAGTCTTAATCCAAGTTCTTCTCTGTTAGGTCTCCTCTCGTCGCCTTTATCACACCATGAATTCTTTCCAAATCAGCTTGCGCAAAGCCCGTCGCCCCGTTGACATGACATTTTAGCTTTAAACTGCAAGGCCGTGGTGTCATATTCGAGGCATTGTTCCCTGCACAGGAGTCAGCAAGCTTTCGATTCTCTCACGCAACCCGAAACCAGTCGCCAGCAGCGGCGTGGCGTGCTTTGCGATACATCGATTGATATACCATTTTAAATAATGGAAAAGGATCGATAGTCGGAGGTTTGCAACGAACACCTTAATAATGGATATTCTACCATAGCTTCAAGTGGGGAAATATCGATCATTCATGCCTCACTACTGGCCGCCAGAATTTCACCGTTTTTGTAGGTGCAGCTCTGAAAACGCTGGCGGCAGTAAAAAGGTCGGTGCCATTGTTGCCAAGTAGCTTCTGAGTGAATAAAAACGTCTGTCGCCGCTATTTTTTCCGACACAGTTCGACAAGTACGACATGGCCGAAACTTCGTAGGGTCGTGTAATCCATACTTTCTCGTTACGCCGAGTCACTGCAGACATGCAATTTTTGCCGAATGTAGCAGACCTATACCTTATACCTTATATTCGAGCCTAGACAGTGCTCTGTGGTTTTCGCGGCAGAAAAACTGCACACGAAACTCAATGATATGCTAGAAATGGTCATTGCAGGGTTGCCACAGTCAGGGAACACCGGGTAAACCGGGAAATGTCAGGAAATTTTAAAAAGTCAGAGAAAATGATGAAAAAAATCGGGGGAAATGATGAAAGTGTCAGGGAAAAATTGTTGATTCACCTTTATCTGCCTTTGAGAATGGGTTTGCCATTTTGAACGACAAATTATGCCTGAAAACTATTTCTAATTATGTCTTTTTAACCATCCGGCAAACCATCCAAATTGAATCTTGTGGTCGATCGGCGCGGCACACAGTGGATCGAATCAATCAGAGGGGTCGGATATGAAATTCCTGACTAATTCTACAAATTTTGATATTTATTTCGTCATATTTTCAAGTTTAAGGGGTGTTCCTGGAAGAAAATTTCACGAAGTAACCATTGGAACCGCTTTTAAAACCTCAAAGTTTTGTGTAAATGGAGTTATACGCTTTTCAAGTCCCCAAATTTTGTCCGACCTCTCGTATTGACTCAATCCATTGTGCGGCGGTATGGTCGATTTATCTCTCTATGTCGGATCATGGAGGGTGCGAAAAATATGATCTCAAATTTATTGACTCTTAATGTGTGTGTGTGTTTCGTGATTCTAATTTGGTGTCTGTTTCTGTTCTGTTCCAGCAGTGTTACCGTCGGATTGCAACGATGGCCGACCCTCGGATACGGAGGAGCTTCTGGGGATGCCCTTCTACGACAACACGTGCACGGATCCACCCACCAAAATGACCAACCTGGATTCGGAAAAATCACCCAACTCCCCCAAATGCTCAGCCAAAAAACAGTTGAAATTCGAGGTAGGCATCTTTTCTAGTACTTGAGCAGGGCGTCCAGCATCAGGATTTTCCCGATTCTATCAGGATTTGAGGTCAATCAGGATTTAAGGAAAAATCGGTCATCAAATCAGGATTTGAGAAACGTCGGCTGTCCAATCGAATTTTTTTATCGAGCTATTTAATTTTTCTCCGCAAAAAATCAGGATTTGGGAAAATTCTGAAATCGGAATTTAGCAGTCATCAATCAGGAAAAATCAGGATTTCATCAGGATTTCCCAAAATGAAAAAAAACCTAGACACCTTGTCCAAGCAAATATAGACCTTCGGGCAGATTGTATTCCCGGTCCGACTAACAGTAACCTTTGTCTCGATGTCCGAAAATCGCCCACGTGGCAACGTCGAAATTCCTCCAAACTCCTGGCTGCAACATCATGCGGAAATCTCAAGTAAATCAGATGAATCCATATCGGGAGGAAGCAAATATTTAAGTGTCAAGCAAATTTTGCTAAAACACCGCTCTTACTCTGAACTCCGGACCACAAGCAAATCCATCAAATCCGAAAACATTTTTTAGCAATTTACCCTCACAAAATCTCTATGAAAGCAATATTTAAACTAAGAAAGAAAATATAGCTTAACTAAAATAACGGCATTCATTTCTGCCGTGCTAAGGGAAAACGCCGTATGAACATTCGAGAGTTGCCAAACTTCCTTCACTAAAATGTTTATTTTTGAGGAAAGTTATGAATATTTTTCCTTGAAATTTTCAGAAACTTTAGGTGAAACTGTTAACAATATTATCTGCAAAATTGGAAGAAAAATATCCGTAAGTCTTAAAGGAAATTCGTGTTTTATGAATGGAAATTCGGCAACGCCTAGAGGTTCATACGGCGTTTTTCCTCAGTACGGCAGAGTACGTGACACATTTCCCCGGTGCAGTCTCGATTAACCTTGATCGATAACGCTGCTGACCCCGATTAGTAAGCGTTTACGTAACGCGGCCGGATTTTTATTTTCCGCGGTTTTTTTCTACCATTTCCTTCCCGACCGTTTATTATTTTGACATCCGATCCCCGATAACCCCCTCCTCCTCCCCCCCTCCCCCGGCGAGATAATGACCCCCCTCGCCAGGGGATTCCGCGAACGAGTGACTGTGTCTCTTTTTATCTTGCGCGGGCTCCGAGTCCGGAGTCATCACTGCCGTGGTAAGGAAAAACGCCGTAAGAACCTTCTGACGTTGCCAAATTCTCTTTTATAAAACGCGAATTTCCTGGTAAACTTATAAATATTATTCTTCAAATATTTCAGATAATTTCGTCCGCAATTTAATCTCAAATATTTGGGAATTCCAAGAGAAAAATATGCATAGGTTTTCTCAAAAATAAACATCATATCGAAGGATATATGACAACCCTCGAATGTTGATACGGCGTTCTTCCTTAGCACGGCGGATCAGCCGTTCGCGTATCGGACGATCGGCGCACGTTTCTCAAGTTCATTCAACGCCCGGTAACGCAACGCCCTAACGCCGTAACGCCGGCGCCGACCCGAGGAAGTTCACGGGTACTGTCCGAACGCCCAAAGGACTTTGCCGCCCGCTCGGAGATAACAGTAATTTCAGTTGTTATTTCACTCGTAGACGAGGCGAGGCGGTCCAAATTCCTTGGACCCCCTCATGACTGGAACAACGCTCTAATCTGCCGTGCTAAGGAAAAACGCCGTATGAGCCTTCAGGCGTTGTCAGATTCTATTCAATTAAAGTCGAATTTACTGGAAAATTTTGGAATATTTTGCTTCAAATTTTTCAGACTACTTTGTTCGCAAGTTGATCTAAAATACCTGAAAATTTCATGGGCAAATATGAATAACTTTCTTAGAAAATACACGATTTATCCAGGGAAATTTGGCAACTCTTGAATGTTCTTACGGCGTTTTTCACTTGCACGTCAGTAATGTTGCCAGGCGCCGTGCGTCCAGTAATCAGTATGGTCGTGACGTATGGAAGATTGACGAAGACAAAAATTGTTGAGAAGAGGTAAAATTTGTGTGAGGGGGTGAGACATAGTTTCCCTGCCGATAGGCCCAAAATTCGCGATCGATAAGAATAAACCAAAATTCGTAGTTTTCTGAGCGACGGAACGTAACTCTCTTTGCGCTTCATCAAATAAGGCGCCTACGATTGTAAAGTGGCAACCCTATAACCCTGAAAAATACTTACGTGAGTGTACGAATAATGTAAACCCTGTATCTAAGCGTTTTTTGTAACAAGCAACTGTAGCTCAGAATTATTACTTAGCCTTTCTTGACCACATAGTTCGATTTCAACCTCCTCTTACGTGAATTTTGGTTTCCGTGAATAAATTACTCTTTTTTTTGACACTTTCAAGTCATCCCAAGTTCTACATCCACACTCTCCACACGCATCTTCGTCAGAGGTTTAGCGGATACAGCCGTTTCGCAATCGCTTGTCACTTCCCACACTCGGCGGTAAGGCTCTCGGGCTCCCAGACTTAACTTTCGCCCCGCTTTTAACTTTAAACGGGCCGCAGTTTTTCCAATTTTGGGAGCGGCCGCAATACTGCCGTGTGAGGGAAAAACGCCGTATGAGTCTTCCGGTGTTGCCAAATTTACTCCGATAGACTACGAACTTTTTAGGAAACTCTTTGGTATATTTCATCCAATTTTTTAGACGATTTTTCACACAATTCAATCTACAACATCCAAAAATTTCTAAGAAAAACACGCGTGACTCCCCTAAAAAATACACGTTTTATTAGGGGAAATTCGGCAACTCTTGAATGTTCATACGGCGTTTTTCCTCAGCACGGCGGCGGCGCCGCGGCGAGTCCCAAGTTGGAAGTGCTAACCGGCAAGCGTCAAAGCATTCTCGGACAGCCCAGCGCTGTCAGACCGACCCGCAGAAATCACGAATTCGCGATCATTTAAACGCGAATTTCGTGCGATGTGGCAACGCGGCGCGGCGCTGGAGACCAAGGTCGGAGCACGGCGACGCCGCGGCCTGTTTATCATGATAATCCCCTTTCGTCGATCGCCGATCACCGATTTGCCGATCCCCGATTGATCTCCCGCCAGCTCCGCCAAGCCGCGACGAAAAGCACCACCCTTCCCGGGAAAAACCACCTATCTCCTCATGGAAACCCTATCGAGATCCGCCATTCTCCGTTAGAATGACGAAAATAAGGGATTTTTCGCCTACCCTTCCGAGGAGAACCGCGTAAATCCAATTGATGTCCAATAGGGATCCGTCGCTTTTGTTTCGGGGGGTGAAAATGCGAGATTTTTGTGCGATCTGGCAACGCAGGCACCGGCCGATTAACTCTCGGTCACGTCTCGAACCCCGATCGCATACCCCACGATCCGCAAATCCTGGGGCTTCCATCGTTGCCTCGTGGCGTGGCGTGTTTTGCGATATATCGATTGATCTGCCGTTTAAACCCACGGAAAAGGATCGATATACAGGGTGTTCGCAACGAACACCTTCATAATCGATCCTCTAGCATAGTTTTCAATGGAGAAATGTCGATAATCGATTTCTCACACTTCGCCACTGTGCTTGTCCTCAAGGAAAAAAATTACCCGCTTTATTATGCGTCACCAGTGCGGTTTAAGTTATTTTTTTTTCAGTATTTTATGAGGTTTACCAGCTTTGAAAACCACTGTTTCCAATCTCTCTTCTAAGTTGGCGTTCGTTCATTTTTTCACTTTTTTCAAAACGCGCTGTTGCCGTGATCGCACCTGAAGTCCCCAGTTTGACGAACAGGAATGGCGAACACCGAACAGGAATAAGCAGCGGTGTCACAAAGTGCCGGATACCACTTATCGAGCTCCGGTGTCGTGAAATTGTATCACGGCTAATTGAAGGCGATTTATTTTATCGCGCACAGCTCGACTGCAGCGTGGGGGCGCGGCAGCCGTATTGGTAAGGTGTTCATGTTCAACATAAGTGCCGTAAAGAGAAAGAAGGTGCTCCTGGGGATTGAAAAAGGGAGTTCCTCCCTGAAATTTTAAGAAATTGAACGGAATTCTATCATTTATTTTTACCGAAGACAACGAATCAGTCTTTACTTGATATTCTATTGTCTAAGCGATACCCGTAAATGAAATCACATACTGCCTCCTGATAGCGAGCCTCCATGCAGTCGAGTTATATTGCGACTAAATGAAGAGCATCTGCCCCTTTTCACTGAATTAATTTAATCGTCTTAATTTTAGTCTCTTAATTTTGGCACAGGCAACCCTTAAGAATCAACTTTTTCATTTTCCGAGCAGGCCAACGACGAATTTGCTAAACGCTCTTTGAAACTCAATTGACCAAAAATCTCCATGGAACATTTCATTGTTGCCAAGTCTACTCGCACAACTCTTTAATTCCTTGCATAACAGTGCATTTTCTCAAAATTTCGTTTTTTCATATTTTTTTCATTTTCCCTCAAGTTTGTTACTATTTTTTTCTTTTTTTATCAACCCATGGAAAAGTCTGTGCAACTACCAATAACCATTTCTCAGTAGTCTCAGAGTACAAATAAACATGTGAGATAAAATTTGGCAACGTTGAAATGTAGTTACGTTCCTCCGTCCGGGAAACGACGACTCAAGACAGTTGGCACATCCTCAAAGCGATTTTTTTTCCTTTAACTTTTACCCTTTTTTTTCGCGGACAGCGACCGTTTCTGCCGCTTTGAGTCAGAAACCGCCTTCGGCGAATATCCTCTGGTAATGAAGGCCCGAAGACCGAAGAGACCCGGTCGCGACCAATATGGATGTCGATTCTTATCGTCAGCGTCGACTCCCCCTCCCCCCTCCCCCCTCCCCCCCGAACCGGGCCGGCGACTCTCTTTTTTCCGCTCCATCTTTTCATTATTAATATCTCGTTGCTTCATGAAAATGATTAATGACCGCCTTAATTATACTGCACTCACGGCTGGAAATGCGCGCGCACTCGCCTCGAATCACCAAAGCTGCGCACGATTTCCACCGTTGTCGGATTTACCGACTGCACGTGCTTTAGGTATCGGGGATGATGGAAAATTTCGTGTTGTTTATTTCTGTGATTTTTAATCAAAGCGAAAAGTTTACGTTTGTGAACGAGAGGCAGTCTTTTCAACTAAGTTTATTATAATCAGGGTTGCCACAGTCAGGGAATACCGGGAAATGTCAGGGAATTTTGAAAAGTCAGGGAAAACCTAGCAATGTCAGGGAAAATGACGAAAATCTCAGGGAAAAATTGATTCGCACCTTTATTTGCTCTCTAGAGTGGGTTTGACGTTTCAAACAACAAATTTTGCCCAGCAACTATTTCTAATGATGGCTTTTTGACCATATGGCATATCTAAAAGTGTCAGGGAATTTCACCAAAATGTGTCGGGGAAATATCAGGGAATTTCATTTTCTAGATTTGGTGCCACAGTCAGGGAATACCGAGAAAAGTCAGGGAATTTTTAAAAATCAGGCAAAACCGTTAAAATGTTAGGGAAAATGACGAAAATGTCAATGTAAGTATGTTTGCACGCATGTATTTGCTTTCCAGAATGGATTTGGGGTCTCGAACAACGAATTTCCTAAAAACGCTTTTCAATTATGTCCTCTTAACCATCGGTCACATCTTCAACTGTCACAATTTCACCAAAATGTGTCAGGGAATTTAATTTTCCAAAATTCCGTGGCAACCCTGAGAAATTAATTTATTGTGAAATTAGACGCCGGTGTAAAAATGCCTATTCGTTTTCCAAATTCTTTGGCAACCCTGAGAAATTAATTTATTGTGAAATTAGACGCCAGTGTAAAAATGCCTATTCTATAGCCCCCGTGTCCTCCTCCTCCCCCATCCCCCAATCTATCCGACTCTACCATCGAAACACGATTCTGCGGTTTAATCCGCGGTCAAAATTCATTTTAGATCCTCCCGATAGTGGGGAAAAAATCCGCCCTGGAACGCGGAGCATGAAAAGCGTTATCGCGGGGGGCAGGGACGGCCGAGTCGATTACCGCCGATTCACCCGCGTCCGCCGACCGTCCCTGCAAGGTACTTCCTGAGGGACGGCCATCTCCTCTCCAGGATGCGCGGCTCAAGAGCGGGCTTGTAATCTCTGTGAAGTGGGGTCGAGTTTTATCTCGGCCGGGCACAAAGGCTCATTCAGCCTCATTTCACAATGTTTGCGGAAGCTGTCATTGTACGCACGACGCGAACAGCGGATCCGAGCTGCGCCCGTTTTCAACGGGCTGGAGGACCGGCACGTCATTCCCCGAGCCCCGGGTAATTCCGATGGACACCCTGTTCAGGCCCGTCAATGGAGAAGGCAGCATTCAAAAACCACCTGTTCTCCCGTGCCAAGGAAGAACGCCGTATGAGCCACCAGGCGTCGTCAAATTCCCTTCGAAAAACAATGAATTTTCAGGAAAATTTGTGCATATTTCTCCTCCGATTTTAAAGAGAATTTTGTTCGAAATTTGATCGAAGAAGTCTGAAAATTTTGAGGAAATATGTTCATGGCTTTTTTCAAAAATCTATATTTTCTGAGAGGAAATTTGGCAACATTCGAATGCTCATACGGTGTTTTTCCTTACCACGGCAATGTTCTACCCTATACTTCGCGTAGGCGGCCCATTTTCTAGGGAGCCCAAGACTCTTAACCCATATCGCAGAGCTCGATCTCCACTTGTACGTTTTTGAGAAGACCTCCGCGTTGAGTCTGCGATGCTCGGCCGAGTATTGTTTTATTAATCAAAAATGATGGCATTGTACTTGGAGCATGCGGGATCTAAAGTGCACAACTCCATTGCGACGTCTCCACGAATGTGCACCTTGATGTTTGGATCGATGGAAAGTACAGGATGTCTAGCGTCAGGATTTTCCCGATTCAATTAGGATTTAATCCCGATTTCATCAGGATTTGAGGAAAAATCAGTCGTAAAATCGGGATTCGAGAAAAGTTGGCCGTCCGATCGGATTTTTTTTATCGAGCTATTTTTATGAAGTTACGTTCGCCTTCCGGGAAGTGAGGACGCCTTAATTTTTCGCCGCAAAAAATCAGGATTTCCCAGAATGATATAAAACTAGACACCCTGGCAGTTCTGCAGGTTGTTTATTTTTCTTCCACAAATATTTATAGCCCGTGAAAGGATTTGCTCATCATAATATCATTCGTGCAAGTCCATTAATTCGGCCATCCATGAAACGAATATGTAGTGGAGTGGCATGGTCGTTGAGACTTCTTAAAATGCGATGAATTTCCGCGATTTTGATCCTCTCACTGCACTTCGAGAAGAACTCGACCCCATCGAAATTGTACATGTTTATTTTCCTCAAAATTAATGCACTCAAAAACATTTCGGTGTTTACATACACGATAATTATTATTATGTATCTCTCCTAATCTGTGCCGTGGAACCGTCCCGTTGCGATTCTACACATGCAAACCTGAGTTTGATTTTTTTATGAATAATTCCGTTACACCGACAACTCTGATGACAGAGCGACAACGACTCGAGAAGAATTCGACCACATCGAAATGGTCCATGTTTATTTTTCTTCAAATTAGTGCACTCAAAAACATTTCTGTGTTTACATACACGATAATTATTAGTATGTATCTTTCCTAATCTGTGCCATGGAACCACCCAGTTGCGATTGTACACATGCAAGCCTGAGTTAGATTTTTTTATGAATAATTCTGTTACACCGACAACTCTGATGACCGAGCGACAACGACTCGAGGAGAAAATAATGAGAGACGAAGAGGACCTGATTGCGAGGATAAGCGAAACCCGACGCCGAATTAGAATTCGCGTAAGCGAATCGCCGAACGGAAAACAAACCGCTTAATTGCCCGAATCTTTAAAATAGCACTCATCAAGCGCGCTCCCGGTTTCTTTCAAATACCACGGAATTTTTCAAGGAACGGTGCCAGGTTTCCTCCGTTATGTAGTTACTTTCTTCGCCCTTCTGAAGCGTAATTTCCGAAGACCGAGACTTGGACGAGTTGATGGTCAATTTAGGTTGAGCAAATTGTATCCTCGAGGGTATCTACTCAAAACTCTTAAGTGCTGTCAGACTCGAAAGTATGGATTTTCGAGGGTATTGAACTCTTCCTATAACCATTCATTGTCGGTAGAAAATCGTGGAAGTGTTTCAATCGACTTGTGCCTGTTCTCTTGAACGGGCGGAAATGAATGCTAAGGAAAGAGTGAAATGACTCGCCGCGCCTTCACGTGTACAGATATGCAACACCGATATCCTTCGAGTGCGTAAAGTTGCGCCTTCACGTGTACAGATATGCAACACAGTTATCCTTTAAGTACGTATAGTTGCATCGAAGCGCTATAATCAACGTCGTGTCTGTTTTAATGGCCCGTGGGGTGTCTAGCATCAGGATTTTGCCGATTCTATCAGGATTCGAGGTCAATCATGATTTAATCCCGATTTCATCAGAATTTGAAGAACAGTCTGTCGTAAAATCAGGATTTGAGAAGAGTCGGCCGTCCGATCGGATTTTTTAATCGAGCCATTTTCGTGAAGTCACATTCGCCTCCGCATAGAATCAAGATTTGGAGAAATTATGAAATCAAGATTTGGAAAAATTATGAAAACAGGATTTTGCTGTCAAAAATCCGGAAAAATCCGGATTTTGCAGTCAACAACTAGGATAAATCAGGATTTTCCAAAATGAAAAAAAAACTGGACACCCTGGCCTGGGTTTTCTGTTTGTATAAAATAAATACTTCAATTATTTCCTCATTTTTTCTTTCCCTCTTACTAATTAATTACCTAATTTCTCCACCGATTACTGAATTCCTTTCAGTAGAAAATTAATTGAGAGCTTTGAGACACACACGAGATCCCGGTAGATCCCGGTAGATCACGTGGAACATAAAACTAGGAATTCCAATCTGAAAATTGAATTCTAAATTTTCATTCTAAAATCTATTTTATCTCCCGATTGCAGGATGAACGATTGTGCAACTCAGTCCCCTCCCTCTTCGCTCCACGCCCCGACTAAATTCATCATTTATTCATTCATTCAAATTGCGATTCCCGATTTCAGCGTTGGTTTGTGTACTTTTCACCTCGTTTATTCTATTCTAGTGCGGGAGGGATAGTTACAGATTCAATCAAAAAGTTCCGCCTGGAGATAAGAGTTTTTTCCCAGCCGGTTCGTTTTGTTTCGTATTTGGATGGGAGCAGTGGCGTGACTGGCGTGGCGTGCTTTGCGATATATCGATTGGTCTGCCCTCTAAACCTACGGAAAAGGATCGATGAACAGTGTGTTGACAACGAACACCTCAATAATCGATTCTTTACCACAGCTTCAAATGTGAGGGAATATCGAAAATCGATCATTCACGCCTCGCCACAGGATTGAAATTCTACCCCGCCTCCAAATTCTCTGCACCATGTAAACTTTTCGATTTTTTTAAACTTGAAATCTGAATCATTATTTTAGCTTTTCGATGCAATTTAAGGTCTTGTATCTATCCTTGAAGTTCAAAGCATTCACCCTTAAAAGAACTTGAATTTCGTTTAAAATTCAATTGCCTGCAACTTCTTTCTCACGGGTTTATTTGTTCTGATGGTAGTTTTCTTTGTTTTTTCAGGAATTCGAGTGTGATCTGTCTGTCGAAGGAGGCGTTAATGGCCAGGAATTTTCTTTCACCTTGTACGATTTTGATGGCCATGGAAAAATTACCAAAGATGTAAGTTTACCTCATTAACTAAGTTGTTCTTTTTAACATTTTAAGATCCAATCATCAAAACAAGATTCTGAGCGTAGCGCAACTGACCTCTCACTGAAGATTTTTGCAAGTAACTCTTGCTTTACCAGATTTTCCTTCATCCAATCCACTAAAACCAATCGACTCTAGGTCAGTGGCGTGGCGTGCTTTGCTATCTATCGATATTTCCCCATTTGAAGCTGTGGTGAATATTCGATTATTAAGGTGTTCGCTGCGAACACCCTGTTTATTGATTTTTTTCATAGTTTTAAATGGTCGATCAATCGATATATCGCAAAGCACACCACACCACTGCTCTAGGGAAAGCGTGCTCCGCTATATTTCGATTTTTTACATACGTTTTATGGGCAAAGTCCAGAGGTCGGACTCGCGAGATCCGCCTCTGCGATAAATCGAATTTCGCTATATTTCGATTTTTTACATGCGTTTTAATGGGCAAATTCCAGAGGTCGGACTCGCGAGATCCGCCTCTGCGACTAATCGAACGAAGCCTCCGATTCGCGGGTTCAAAGGGATCGAGAACCCTAGACTAAAAAACCAGGCGCGAAATTTGTCCGCGGAGCCGCGCACCGCCCAAATAAAAATTCCAGCCCTCATCAAAGGGCCGGCTGGCATAGGTACACATGCCGAAGCGATGTTTCACTGCCTTTCATCTGACGAAGTCATCCCGGTGCAACACGCCACCCATTCCGCAGACATGAGTAAATGAAGTGATAAAGGCTTGGCCTGATGCACTACACTCATTACTGCAACAGAGCGTCCCTGGAATGCAGTCGCCTCATAACAGGTGCTGTGCCGAGGAAAAACGACGTATGAACCACCCAACCTTGCCACATTTCCTGCGCTAAAATATGAATATCCAAGGAAACTTGTTAGTGTCTTTCTTCTCAAAGAGAGAATTTTGCACACGCTGTAATCTAGCAGGGTGCCTAGCATCAGTATTTTCCCGATGTTACAGATTCTATCAGGATTTAAGGATAAATCGGTCTTAAAATCAGGATTTGAGAAGAGTCGGCTGTCCGATCGGATTTTTTTATCGAACTGTTTTTGTGAAGTTACATTCGCCTTCCATGAAGTTTTTCTCCGTAATGTTTCTCCGCAAAAAATCAGGATTTGGAAAAATTATGAAATCAGGATTTAGCAGTCAAAAATCAGGAAAAATCTTAGCGTCTGTCTTCTCAAATTTGAGCGAATTTTGCTCATAATGTCATCTAGCAGGTTGTGAGTCTAGCATCAGTATATTCCCGATGTTCTAGTTTCCATCAGGATTTGAGGTCAATTAGGATTTGATCCCGATTTCATCAGGATTTAAGGAAAAATCGGTCGTAAAATCAGAATTTGAGAAAAGTCGGCCATCCGATCGGATCTTTTTTATCGAGCTATTTTTGTGAAGTTACATTCGTCTTCCGTTAAGTTTTTCTCCTTGATTTTTCTCCGCAAAAATTAAGGATTTGGAAAAATTATGAAATCAGGATTTAGCCGTCAATAATCAGGAAAAATCAGAATTTGATAAGGATTTCCCAAAATGATAAAAACATTACATTCTGTCTAGTGTCTCTGAGAATCCAAGGCGAAACATGCATCTCTACTCCTATAATTGAACGTATTTCTGTTAAACGGAACTGTGTGCATCATGACGTGAGCCCTGTAATGCATATATTTCAACGGGTCTCAGGGGTTATGTCTTAATGTACGTAGTTCCGTTTGGCAGAAATACGTCCAATTAAACAATTTATCGGAGGAAATTTGGCTTCGTTTGAGTCCTCTTACGACGTTTTCTCGCCGGTGGTAATCTGCTTGAATGCTTGTCGAATGACACACAGCATCCTCCATCGCCGGGCCGGATTAAAGCATCGCGCAGAGCGTATGAAAGAAAAACCTTCTATTCGCTCTAATTTTAAAGTCCCCTCGCCTTCTTTACGGGGTTCGAAGCGTGTCTAATGATACGGCCTCCCGAATCCGGACATCAAAAGGATTTCACTGACATTATCACCGCACACGCGCTAAGTTTAGATTGTTAATCAATAGGTTGCTCGCGCAGTACGGCGGGAAAATCTTTTCGAGTCGAAAACGCAAAGATCAAAAAGACCCGTCAAGTCTGGCCGACCCACAGTGGACCGAGTCGGTAGGAGAGGTCGGATAAAATTTGGAAACTTCAAACGCTTACAACTCCGTTCATATAAAATTTTCAGATTCTGTAAATGGCTCCATTAGTTTCCTCGTAAAATTTTCTACTGAAAGCGCCCCTTGAAAAAAATGTAACGAAATAAGCATCAAAATTTGCAGTCCCAGTCGAAAATTTCATGTCTGATCTCTCTAAATGACTCGATCCACTGTGCGACCGACCGACCGGCTGAGTTGGCGCACCAGGGTGTCTAGCATCAGGGAAAACCGGAAAATATTAGGAGTTCTGGCCGATTAGGAAAAAATCGGAAAAATCGGACGTTTTATCAGGAATTTTTCGTACGCGAATCTCCTCAGCGGAGAAAGTCTTACTGCTTTTTGCCTACCGTGCCAGGAGTCGAGAAAAATCAGGAAAACATCGGGAATTTTCAAAATGAAAAAATCATGAATTTTCTATACAATATCAGGATTTTTCAAAATTAAAAAATACTAGACACCTGCGCACGGTGAGCAGAAATCAGATTTCGCGCGGAGAGAAAAATGAGTGAAAAATGAAAATTCTAAGTATCTAAGTGCAAAACGACGTATCTCCATTGCGGTTTTTCAAAATCTTCCAATTTTATCTCGATAAGATAGAGAGCGAAGAACCAGGATTCTATGGAAACGAAGGGCATTTCTTTTTGCCGGGAAATCCCTCGACAGTCGGGGGGAATATCATCAAACCTTTCGACGTTTTTTTCAGTAACTTCCAATGCAAAATTCGGTTTGTTTTTTTCCCCTGTTCAAACACGAAAAATGCCGGGAAACGTGGATTTTCAACAATTCGGAGAATAATAAAGTGAGCCGTGGCACAGACAGTTCTCTCTTATACGAAAATAAATGAACAGAATAAATAAACTGGTATTGACCAAAACGTGTATAATTTTGTACTACCAAGCGGCGGTGCACACGAGAACACCTCTCAGTTTGTTTTGCGTACTTACAACTACGTTGTGTCACTATTAATTTTGAATCCGAAGTATTCTTTTTTATGTAAAGTGGCGGAGCATGATTAGTCAACTCCCTAGCCCTGCTTCTTTCTTTGTAGATCGTGTACCTAATCCTCAGCTTGGTTGTCAAATTGTGAGAATTTCTTGAGAACGTTCGTCAGATGAAATCTCAGAATCGTCTGACCGTACTGTGTTTGACGCAATGCGTAAAGCATTCCTACAGTCAAATAGGCGCTGTGCGTTTCACACCGACCGCTTCTGAACGCACTGTGTTTGACGCAATGCGTGAAGTACTCATGCAGTCTTGTAGGCGCTATGCGTTTCATGCCGACTGCCGCACCGCTCCGTTCCAGGTTAAATTGCGTGTTTGGTTTCTCTCTAAACTCGACTAATTAAAGGAGGTGTCTCTTGTATCACTTAAGAAGACAAAATTAGAAATTACTGTTCTTTTACCCTCAGGAAATAAGAAATTTTGTCGCCTTTTCTCGTTTGTAATTTACTGAATCCGATTTCTTCCTCTCTTTTTTTGATACCTACATTAAAAAAATTGCAAAATATTACGCCTTCTAAATTTGCCGCCATGGGCCGCGGCCCATGGTGGCCATCCCCTTCATCCGACCGTGAATGTTAGTCTAAACTCTAGATTCAAGCAACTTTTTTCTAGTGAATCATGAAAATACGACCTCGTGACCCGCGCAACTCATCAGTTTCGTCCCCCGATAATATAATTTTCACGCTCAATCTGACAACGCAGAACTTCGAATTTTGGCACGGATGTCCGCGAGAACAAATGTTGACTGATTCGACTGAGGAGCTGCCAAAAAAAGACGGACGCTACAACCGGCCTCTCCGGGAGCCAGCGCGTGTAATCTCAATTTCTTTCGAACGCGTTGCGTCACCCGAGACAAATCGCACGGCGAAATCATCCATCCCCAATCGGAATCCCGGTTTTCGTCCGGCGAGTCGGCATCCCTGGAAGGTGTGTGTTTTTATTCGCGTTTCGGCTCGGATGTGCTTTCGCGGATGGAGTTGCTTTGATATTGGGAACCGCGGGAGAGCGGGGGAGGGAGGCGGGAAGACTTACATTATTGTAGCCAAGTGATTTCAATTAAGTCGTCTTCCCTAACTAGCTCCCAATTATTCACATTGGTTCTGGTATTTGAACTTGGGGATCTCCTCTTGTTCGCGCTTGTCCATCTCGTCCGCCTCTTTTTTCCACAAATGCCCCGTGGTCCGTCACGCTTTTCGAGAAATCGAGTTTTGATGGTCGTTTAAGGGTTGCAGGGTAGCAAAGAAGAGTATTTAAACGATTATTACCAAGTTTCAGCGTGTAACATCACTGAATATTTCCCCCTAAAAATGAGGGTGGAAAGGATACTCTATCCAACGCGGCAATGAATTCCATGGTTTCTTTCGCGTGTCATAATATGACGACATCGATGAACGATGAAGGGGAAAAATTCAAGAATTACCGTTGAGTAATTTTCCATGTAAAAAATAAAGTATGACAGGAAGTCTGCCTCGTCGCAAACCAAGGCACGTGGTTGCGGACTTACACCGTCGCCCAGTGGAACGAGTTTTTGGGAAAAGTCGGACATGAAATTTTTGACAAAAACTGTAATATTTTAAGTTAATCTCATCGGAATTTTAATCTTGAGGGGTACCTTTTAAAGACAATTATACGAGAAAACCAATAAAACTACTTTAAAAGTATCAAATTTTTATATTGATGAAGTTGTACGCTTTTAAAGTTCTTAAATCGTATCCAACCTCTCCTATTGACTCGATCCGCTGTGCGTCGTTTTGCAGGGTGACTACAAGTCCGGAATTTCTGGAAAGTCCGGAAATAGTACTGCTTTTTTAAGGGCGGTCCGGATGTACTTAAAAAGTGCGGAAATTCCGTTAGGAGGTCCGGAATTTTTTTTCATTTCCTGTCATTTTGGTCATAATTTGAGCGAGAAATTCAAATTTTTGAAATTTTTCGAATTTCGTCAATTGGAGGTAATGAAAATGTACTGAATTTTTCTGGCAAGAAGGTACGGAATTTCTTGGGATTTTGCTAAATGAGTACTGTAAAAGTACTATTTTTTGGTCAGCCTGTTTTAGTAGACACCCTAGTCATTTTGTTTTTTGTTACTTAGTCTCTCGACGCTGTATTTCTCGCTACGATTTCCACGTGTGTAACGTAATCTCCTCTCTTTTCTGCAGGATATCGCGGGTCTAGTGACGACGATCTACGAGACGATCGGCTCGTCGATCCGGGTGCCGCACTACGGGAGCAAGACGATCAAGGTGAAGCTGACGGTCTCGCCGGACAAGGCGGCGCGAGCGCGGGCCGGCGGGGACGCGGCGCCCGGCGACAACAACAACGCCGCCCCGAAGAAGCGGGACCTCAACGTCACCATCCGGGAGCGGCGGACCCCCGGGCACCCGCGCCGCGGGCACAAGTCCAACCTCCGGCGGCGGCACAGCATCAGCAGCTCCGCGCCCAGCGAGGACCGCCACGACATCGAGGCCGACATCTCCGAGGAGGAGAACGACGCCGCCAACGAGAGGCTCTCCACCAACAAGTGAGTATACAATTTCTATCTTCTCCAGTCAAAAGTTTTCTTACATATGGATGTGAAGTTTGGCATCTGAAGGAACGGATACAAGGGATACCTACTAAGAGCAACGGAGATGGATTTCTGGAGGGGGTCTGCAGGAATTTCTAGGAGAGATCGAGTCCGCAATGAAAGAGTGCGTCAGATCATGGGAGTCGAAAATGCCATTATATTCGACGTCATGACCTGACAGCGTGTCTGGTTTGGTCATGTCAGTAGAATGACGGACGAAAGGCTGTCAAAGAAATAATTTGATTGGGTTCCTCCAGGGAGGAGAGTGAGGAGACGAAGGGGACGCCCAGTGAGAGGGTGGCGACAGGGGGTTTTAGAAGAAATGAGGGTTTGCCAACTCCCTGAAGGACTTTGGGTGGATTGGGGACTTTGACGGCTAGGAGTCGCAGAGCGCCAGAGAGCGCTATAAAAGCGACTTTATACTTACATTCATCTTCTCCAGTCATCCGGAGTGATGGTATGGTATGGGCATATGCAGAGGATGGCTGATACCAGGTTGCCGAAGAAGGTGTTGGAGTGGGTCCCTCCAGCCAGCGGACTGATATTGAAATTGATAGACAAAGCAGACATATGGAACTTGGAGGGATCCTATTGGTTAAAACGGTGGTTGTTATAGACTTGGGGGTAAATGATGGACCATCCACAGGGTCTCTCGTGGAATACCGTTAGCTAGTGTAATCCCTACCTTCTCTGTCCATTGCAACCACCCGCCTCCACCAATAGGATACCTCCATATCCCTTTAGTCTTCTTTGTCTATAGATTTTTCTGGTAATTTCAACAATCAGCCCGCAGGTAGGCGTCGGAGAGGGCGTCCAGCCAAACGGTAGGTAAAGGGCGTCTGTCAAGAGATGGAGATGCCAGCTTCCGGAGCCCTGGTAAAAATTGGCAGTAGAATATGTGTTCCAAAATACCATAGACCTACAGCCGGCTGTAAGATTTCCAATAGCTTTTATAGCCGGCTACACAATTTCTTATAGCCTTTTATAGCCGATGGCGATGAAGCAACAGCCAGGCAATAAAGTGTATGCTAAGCGTTACTGATTACGGATGCTAGGACTTAGTGAGTTTTTGGAATACTGCTCTCTTTTTGGGCCGTAGTATCTTGATTTATTTTGCGAGGAAAGCTCCGTACTTTTGATGGATGCCTGCCATTACTAATATATTAGAGCGCCTTCAGTTTTGTATGATACTGTGCAATACCTCTGGTGTGAAATAGTTGCTTCAAGCGCCGTGGCACGCTGCGGCGCGGCAGGCGGACAGCCAGCGCGAAACGCGCATTGGCGCCTACAAACCTAACAGGGATACTTCACGCGTTGCGCAATGCGTGAAGTATCCCTGTTAGGTTTGTAGGCGCCCGTGCGTCGCCGCTCCGCTTTGTGTTAGGCTCTAATATTTAATCTGGCGGAGTCAGCGTTATTCAACTCATGATTTTGAAATATTTGCATGGATGGTCCTGTATGGATTATTCTCATTTTAATCGATGAAAAAAAAAAATATGTATTAGAGGAAAATATAATGTGTGTTTTGTCAATATTAAGTTGGCTCCGTATCAAACTTAATGATTTCCAAAGCACACGAATTTCTACACAATTTCTCATAGCCTTTTATAATCGATGGCGAAAAAGCAACAGCCAGGCAATAAAGTGTAAAGCCCGGCTGCATAATTTTTTATCACTTCGTATGGCCCGGCCGTATGATTTTCTCCGCATTCTACAGCCAGCTATATGATGTTCTATAGCCTTCTTTAGTCGGCTATAAGGATTCCTATGGTATTTTGAAACGCAGCTCTTGTCGCCAATTTTTACCAGGGAGGATCTCTACCATGATAGATTCCTGTGGCGCATAGGCGTCGCATAGCGCCCTAGCGCGCTGTAAAAGCGACTTGTAGGTACATACATACAGGAAGAATACCCAGATTTTCTAAAAAAATTCGAAGATCCCTAGAGATGCTAGAATATCCCTAGACTTCAAATTACTGCTCTTCTACCTATGTTTTAAAAACTGCCTGAGTAAGGGGAAGTACCAACAGATGGTACAAGGATTTTCCTCAAGAGGCTCCAAATGATTTGAATTGTGATTTAGGGAGTTTTCAAGAATATCCTCAACAAAGCACCATGCAAAGAACAATTTTAATGGATTTCGAGTATGTGAAATTTAAAAGTGAAACTTGAGAAGTAGAACCTTAATTGCCATGTAAAGGGCAATTGTTGCGAGTTTCGAGTAATTAAAATTCAACAGTGAAAATTGGGAAGTAGAAGTTCACAAGGGATTAGAACCTAGTAAACTGTTTAATTTTAGAGACTAGTTAAAATTGCTCCTTCAATGGTGCTGTGTTTAGGGCCGATCTCCTTTAATGTCCCTCATTCTAGAGCACTCAAGACTGAACTATTTTCATTTATTTGAAAACTTTAAGTAAAAAGTCTAAAAGTATGTGAAAGTGTTCAGCATTTTAACATTTTATGTTTACCTACTGACCCCTAATTCTTAACATCGGTACTCAAATTCTGACTAATTTCTTGTTTCAGCAACAATTCCGATTCTTTGTCACCTCAGAACAACTGCTGCAGTCGAACCAAGAAACGATCATCCTCTTTACAAAGGCAGGAACTTCTACAAATTATTCAAGCAAATATGGAGAAAAATAATCTATGTTTCCAGACCTCAAGGTAAGCAAAACAAGTTTCCTCCCATTGTTAGACGTAAAAAATACTTCCTTTAAAAATTCCAGAAAGCAAAGTTAGGCTGAGATCATGATGTTTTCTTGTTTTTTGACAGTTGAGAACTAGAAAATTTGAATAGACATATGTTAGACATCAGTTCAACTGGCAGAATTTTATGACCATTAATTCTTGATTGATTGATGACACTGATCTTAAAACTAGACTCACGATGAAGTTTTCTTGAATTTCTTGAATAAAAAAAGAAACCATAGTGTATCTTCTCCGGAAAATGTACTGAAAAAGAAAAAAAAACCTCTCCAACTTATAAAAATGAAAGTTGTTGGTTTCGTATACCACGTTTAAAATTTCAGTCTCACATTTTCTAAACATAATAATATATTCATTAGTTCAACTTTTTGCCTGTATGTAGTTTTAAATTTGTCATCATTCCTAATTTTTAATTTTTATGTTGCAGGAAACATTGTGGTTTAGATTCTTCGTTTCCAAATCATCATAGAAACCGTCACAAGAGGCACTCAAGTTTCCACCAGTCGTCCACTCAGTGTCCTGCCTTCTCGCCTCAGTATACTAATAAGCTATTTCCAACGAACAAGAACCAGTCACCAAATAACAACATTTCTACCCCCGGGTACGTCACTCCAAACAAAGCATCTCCTGCCGGGTATTTCGACTCAGCTGCACACCAGAGAAATTTCAACGAATCACCTCAGCTAAATCACTTCATCAACGAAGACAAGCTCAAGTCTTCACCGCATCATCTTAAGCATCGCCACCGAGAGCAGGATCAAGCTCGGGCTATGGCGCAAGTCGTCAAATGGTTAGAGCAGGAAGTCTTTAAGCCTTCGCCAAATCATCGTAGCAAATCAAAACACACAGAAAAGCATACAACGAAAACCACGGAAAATAGATCGAAATCATGCAACGACAAGCATGAACACCATCACATTCATGAACACGTACATCACCACTATCATCATTACAATGAATCCCCTGTTGTTGTTTAATTGGCCTCCCACAAGTTGTTCGACAAAGTTTTCAAAACTTTTAACCCAAAGTAATCGGAATTGTGCTTTTTGCAGACTGCTTAAAATTTAAAGCGTACTGGCTTAATTTTAGCCCAAAAGGAAGCGTATTTCTCCTTAGAAGTGAAAGCACAACCTAATGTTCGAAAGTTTAGCTTCGTGGTTGGAGGATGTTCACTTCATTTGACTTGTTCATCTTTTAGTTTTAGATTTTATTGAACTGACCTAATGATGATCTCTTCATCAATTTCTAAGCAAATAAAATTGAATCTCAATGTTTTATCTGACTACTGCCTCACTCAGCAATTCTTGTTGATGTGTGAAGCTTTCTAGACTGGCATTTGAACTGATTAAATGGGTTTAAGTAGGAATTTTGGTTAATATCATCTGGAAACTTCGCCCTGCAATTTTGCCATCACGCTTTGTTTAGTATCTTGAGTTCTGTGTTTGTATCATCTCTTGGGTATGTATTTAGTTCAGTTCTACTGATGCATTGTTACTTTGTTCCTTAAATTTTTTTTATATTTTCTTGTTTTTCAATTAACTATTATTTTTCCTTTCTTTCTTTCACTTTTAAACCTCAAGGTCAAAACCTTATAAAATTTATCTTAATTTTCAATCATAGCTCAGAAGACACGACATCATTATTGTATGTTTTTTACTTCATTGTTAAAAAGCAAATTGGCTGATAATGATTGAATAAACCTCAGGAAAAGTAGGTATCCATCACTTGATGATAATAGTTTTCATAGAAGCTGCCAAAAATGTTTGCAAAATATTGTATCTTTGTAAGAGCAATGATTGTAGATGCGTACTGCTTTCTTGCCATATGTTTTTGTACATAATCTAGGAATATTCGTTTTTATTTATTTTTTAATTTTGCACAGTTTTTAGCCACTGTAAACATGTGTAGGTAATCTAACAGTATTTTAAATGATGCGTTTGTGAGTATTTTCCTTGATAATGAATTTACCGTGAGCACTCTCCACAATTCAAATTGCCAATAGAGATTTCAGTTTTTTCTGAAATTTTTTTCAATGTTCTTAAAGGATTTAAAAACGGAACAAGGAGGATCAAGATTAGAGTTAATTGCAAAGAAAATCTTAAACTTCTTGAATTAGAAATAAAGAAAGACTTTAACCCAAGGTGAAACATGAAATTGATTCTGCAGATTTAAGTACTGTCATCTTCTGCACAAGGATACATATCTTAATTGCACTATTCCAGTATTTTTTACTACCATTTTTTTTAATAGGAAAGTAGTAACATGACTGAATCTGAAATTTCAAGTGATTTTTCCTTACACATGTAAGAAAAGATTCGAAAATTGCAAGATAAATTCGTGGGACTGCTCTCCCATAAAGCAATTAAATATTCACTGAAATATAGAAACTGCGCAATCAAAATCATATATTTCTTTGTGCAGGAGACACTGATAACACTTATTTGATTTACGATCAATTGATGCCAATGTGCTTATTCAGCGCCATATGATTCTTTTGCTTCCGTATTTTCTGTTTTTGAGGAATTATCAATTTGAGCTGAAGAATTGTAGAGCTGCTGGAATTTTCTGGTTGTTAAAGTTATTTAACATACCAGGTGAGCTTTGATGGTGAAAGTTGAAAAAACATCCATCTTCTTTTTTTTGAATCTGCAGAATTCCTGTCCTTGCTTATATCTTTGGAAGAATGGAAGGTCATTTTCATTGCAGAAACTTTCGGCGATTTTCCCTCTCTTATTCAAAAAATATTCTTAGAAAACGTAATGCAACAACCAAATACAGCAATATTGGATGTAACTTTCATGGAAGAATGAGGTACAGATAAAAAAAAATGTTTAATCACCGCAGTCAAGATGTGTGTTTTTCTTCTTTCCTCATTGATGCATAAATAGGTATGATTTTACCTGTTGAAATTCTTTGGATTATATATGTAAAGGCATTACATATTTACCATTTGGACCACATTTTGCAAAAAGGAAAAATTATATCCGATTCATTTTAGTAACAGCATATTTGCAGTAAATGTCTCAATGCAAATAGGTGCCTACGTGAATGTACCAGAACTATTAGTCCTTTTTTTCAAAATGTAGCTCAAATTTCTCTCCTCCCAAGGTCAATGACTCCTCGATAAATACTCTCAAACTTAGTTTGTAAATATATATATTTGTATATAATGATTGTTTTCCTCTTTTTATAAATTTTTTTGTATTGCTATTTTTTCCTTTCTTTATTTATTATTGTTTAGAAATCAAATTGCGAGAGTTGGTACACTCCAAAAAAGCACCCAACCCTCAATAGAACGAAATTTTACATGAAATTACCTAGTTTTACCTTGTGAATTTTGATGAAAATATCCAAATGAAACAGCCGTTTGGCACTAATCTTTGAAAAAAATGTAAATGCTGAATCGAGACAAAATCAAACTGAGCCATAGCCTGTTGTGTATTCTATGAAAGGCAGAAATCATGCAATTACTTATCTCGACATATTATTTATCATTAAGATTTGATAATAAAATATTTCTCTCATTGCTTGAGAAGAAACTAATCTCAGCAAAAGACTGCAAACAAGAGAATGTGTGTCATTATTTTTGTGCCCTCTCCTAATTTCTAGTATTACTTAGACTACATCGTATTATTATACAATATGTAATTGCATCAGCAGTTAGTTTAATTTTGGAATCCATTAACGACTATCAGTTCATTTTAATCATGAATTTTAAAACAAAAATGTACTCTTTATGAATTTTACTGTTCGTTTCCTTTCCTTTTTTCTAATGGCATGTTGTTCTCTCTTCATACTACTCAAATACAGAGTGATGGAATTTTAAAAAAATTCTTGAAGTGAAATATTTTTCATTTAATTTCTGGGCAACATATCCTGTACCCGCTTCGGTAAATAATCAGGTCAAAACATTTCATTTTAATTGTTAACACGACCAATAGATTTTTTAAATTCATTTCAGGCTCTTTACTTTTTATTATATTCAAGCTGAAAAAAAAAGAATAATAATTTCTATTGAATCCATGGCAGATTTTAGTGCCAGCCAAGAGTATGGTTGAGTCAGCTAGGAATATGGTGGACACAACCATACCCTACTAAAACCATAACTCATCTGACCTTTGCATGTCTCAAATGATTTCTGAATTCTTCTGAAGGTACAAATAAGTCATTAGTTCTCATTCCATCATTTATTGTTTATTGTAATAACTCATTATTTTCAAATTTTGCTCAAAGATTCGCCTAAAGGTTTCATTGTTCGGCAAGAGTCTATTTTTGCCTTTCATTGTTCCTGGCAATACTTAATAACAATGTTAAGTAGCTATAATTTCAATCATGATCATGTAACTTCTATTGTAAACTTTCTGAAACCCTACCTTCACTTTTTGCAAATAAACTTATTAATTATAAAATTTATACAATGTGTTGTAATTGGTTTTCCTCTCAAAAATTTTCTCTCAATTCTTGCAACCTAATAAAAATTGGAAACATGGTATGTGTAACAGATCAGGAGAAAATAGGAAATTGTAGAAGTAATGGATAATTCATCGAATCCTGGACAGAGGAATGTATCTTACTATTCTGTCTCAGGCTTTATAAACATATTTTATTTCTTCATGGAAGAACCACCACACTTTATCCGAAAATTTTATTGTCTTTTCTCTCATGTGTAAAGCAAAATCACTGAAAGTCTCAGTATATTACATTTACAATTGTAAGGGTAACAATTGGACCACATTTGGCAATAAGGAACTACTACTTTTGGCTCATTTTAGAAACAACATATATGTCATTGGTTTCCCTATGCAGAAAGATGCTTTTGCGGACGAGCCGGAGGCAGTGGTTCCTTATTGCAAGATGTAATCCAATCCAATTAAAAATGGATGATCGGGTCTCCATCAAAAGGAGTCAAAAAGTTTTTCTTCAAATCCTAGGGTCTGCTTCTCCCACTTCTTTCACGATACATTGATTGGTCGTAAAAATGGAATCTATATCTAATTTGTCAGCAAATAAAATATTCCAAGGTTGTATTTTCAGAAAATCATTTAACTTCTCTTTTTGAAAGAATGAAAAACTAATTTATTAGTGACAAAATCCTTGATGGCGGATAATTAAGTATGTGCCGAAAAATTTTGTCCTCATATGAATTCTTTCTTAAAGTCAAACATACTAGATGCAGCCTGCACTTCGAGAGAAAAAGAACAGAACAAATTATAATTTTCTCCAATATATTCGCCAGACTTTATTGTGATTGCATGAAAGAGAGATGAATCACTTCTCAAATTTGGAAGAAAACCTGCAAACATGACCTGACCACTTTCAAAACCCACTAAAATTGTCCTTTCTCATTATAGAACTCCTGGGAACGCATTTCCTATAAAGCGAATAACTAGGTGAGAGAGAATTCATTTGAAAACCCGCATACCTACCTTATTTGCTGATTTTAAGTCAGATGCTTATGGAAAGAGTAGCATATATTTTAGTCGGGGTATGGTATGTATCGATCTGATGGTGATTTTTCAAGGGAATTTCGACAACTTCCATGATCATCTTCATTTCACAAAAACACCTCAAATTTAAGTACCTACCAAGCCATCAAATGTCCCAAGTTGCACAGATTGCGATAAGTAGCATTTGAATGTTAAAAATATTGCAATTTCACTAAGTGTTGTGAATGTTGCCTAGCTCCTATTTGAAGGAGCCCCATTTATTGAAACTTATTGCAGTAAAATTGAAATAAGTTGCAATTTTTCATTGCATTGCATATTGTCTATCTTCCTGACACATTAAGCTCATTTGGTTGATTGTTTAAAATTGGAATAACTCGACTAAATTATGTAAAATTTTACAATTTCATGGGGGAAAAAATAAAAATTTCATTGAAATCAAATTTCAATATTTTTGTTGCACTGTGCTACTTGGGGTTCAATCTGACAAGCCATTACCTAACAAGGTCTAAAGTCACAGACCAAACGTAGTCAGAATTGCTCTGAAAACATATAGAATTATTAGGTACAAACAAATTTTGTAGCCTTTACGGTTCGGAAACAAGATAATGGGCATTGGGCAAAAACTATCCCTGGTGCTGACTGGGATTATAAAACTGAAGCACCAAACTCACTGCAAGGAAAACTGAATTAAATGGATTCGATCAAGGATGAAAAAGAGTTTTTTTCATAAAATAGTTTTTAGGCTTGAGGTGTCAAACCGCGGTTTTCAAACTGTCGTGAAATGATGTTGAACATTCAAATACCTCATTATTCTTATTCACCCTTCTTACCAACATCCTCCTATCAATTTTGAATCTCGCGCTCAATGGACAAAAGCAGAATATAATAGCTACTGCTACCTAGCGGTGAAAGGCGCAACCTGCTGCAATCTGACTCGTGAGTGCATTGTGGCGCTACCTACCAGAGTTCACGAGAAAGTAATTTTATCTGGCGCGTGATTCAAACTTGAAGGATATAAAGTCAAAAATTCCCCACTTTTACAACAATAATTGAGTGGCACTTGCTCTCATGATAATTCCAAATGAGGTATTTTTCGGGCATACGTCGTTACCTCCCATAGAGTACATAGAGTCGTAATGTGAATGTGAATTACCCTTGTTGCTATTTTATTCCTGGTTCAAAATAAAATCTTCTTGCTGGCATACTCAAGAATGTTTCTGCCTAAATCGAGTCACTTTTATCTCTAACATAATTCAAAAATTATGCTAAACGTTACTAGATACGAATGCTGGGACTGAGTGAGTTTTTGGACCACCGCTCTCTTTTTGTGCCGTAGTATCTTGATTGATTTTGAGAGGAAAGCTCCGTACTCTTAAAGAATGCTTGTCATTCTTGATGCGTCGGAGAGCCTTCAATTTCGTTTGATACTGTGCAACACCTATGTTGCGAAATAGTTGCTTGAAGCGGCGGGCGAGGGCGACCAGCGTGACACGCGCATTGGCGCCTACAAACCTAACAGGGATACTTCACGCATTGCGCAATGCGTGAAGTATCCCTGTTAGGTTTGTGGGCGCCAGTGCAATGCGTGAAGTATCCCTGTTAGGTTTGTGGGCGCCAGTCCGCGTTTCCCGCCGGTAGCATGCCGCACCGCTCTGTGTGAGGCTCTAATATTTAAACTCGCGGAGTCAGCGTTTTTCAACTCATTATTTTGAAATGTTTGCATACTCTGCATTCATTATTCTCATTTAAATTGATGGGTTAAACTGATCAAGGGAAAACAGGTAACTTTTCGGTGGGTTTACGCTAACTGCCCATCAAAAAAAAAAAAAAAAAAAAAAAAAAAAAAAAAAAAAAGTCATCTTCTCTGCCTACCATATTTCAAACTTGACGAGTTGCTGGTCTGCAAACACGGCTATTGGCAACCTTCGAGAGACCCTATAATTAGTCCATCATTTTCTCCCTCAGTCAATAGGAGCCACCCTTTTCAAGCAATAGGATAGCTCCATACTCTCCTCTTCTTTGTCTATCAGTTTCATTTATCGGCCTGCTGCGGGCTGATTGATAGACAAAATTGATAGCAAAGCTATAGACAAAGAAGGAATAAGGGATATGGAGAAATCCTAGGCGGGTGGCTGCAATGGACAAAGGAGGTAGGCAATAGACTAACTAACGGCAACCCACGAGAGACCCTACAACTTGAGTCCATTATTTTCTCCCTTAGTCTATAGGAGCCACCCACTTCAACCAATAGGATCGCTCTATACTCTCTACACTGAAAAAAAATTCTCGGTCTTTTTACCAAGGTCCGTCGGTACCCTTACCATCTCACTTTTTTTACCAATTATTGGTAATTTTACCAAGACAGGCTGGTAAGCTTACCTAAAAACCGGTATTTTTACTGTTTTTTCAGGTAAGAATACCACTTTTATTGGTAATCAATTCCCGGTAACTTTGCCATTTTATCTCGGTAATTCTACCACAGTCGATAAAAAATATTGGCGTTTTTACCAAGGTTCAGTAAAATTACCGTGAAAGTTCAATAATTTTACCGAGATTTCTCGGTAAAATTACCAATTCCATAAATGGTAATTTTACCAAGAAAAAACTGGGATCAAATAGAACCCTGAATTCTTGGTAATTTTACCCTTTTCTTGGTAAATACACCGAGATTTTTTTTCAGTGTATATCTTCTTTGCCTATTGCTTTATCTATCAATTTCAATAATCAGCCCGCTGATCATGGTTTCAACACAATAATTCCGTAGTATTTTTCTTTGTCCTCCCAATTACGACATGCTGCGAGAATTTCGAGCTTAAAAATCACGCCATTTATTCGAGAGACATAAAGCATGGGCGAAAATTTTCAAACATAGGAGTCGAGATCCGTGGCCGGGTGGTTCCACCATCGATTTTCGGACGGGAAGCAAGAGCTCGGGCTCAGCTGCTCGGCGGGTTGCGTCTTCCATCACGGCAGTCGAAGTGCGGAGCGAGTCAATTTTGAATTAGATTCGCATCCCTGTCGCGGCCCGCTCCTCACACGTCCTCGCGCCTCCCGACTTTGACAGATATTTATTGCGTCAAATTTCACACTCGTCTCGGGCGACAAACCCGTGATTCCCGGGCCCCGCACCCGGAGCGACACGCACTTTTGCTCCCGAGCGCGCTCCCGCGCGACTCCAGCCCCGAAACTCGCGAGTAATTAAAACACCTCCACGCCGTGCGCGCTTGCCAAATCGGTCGTGTAAAAATTATTATCCGTAGAGAACCTTTGAGTATCTAGACAGAGTATGGTCATTCGTATCTTTTTACTACCGCGGGAAAGCTGTGCCGCTTTTTGATTGGTCAACGAGTTTTTAGGCTTCATCATGCTCTTACGGCCGTAAATCAACAAATAAGATGGTGACTCACCGTAACATTGATAAGAGGCTAAAATGACAAAAATTTCACTTATGCGGCAGTAACAATTTAAACTAACATATCGACGATGAAACTACCCAACCACGTATCTCGTTTGCGGTGTTTAAAAATCTACGCTCACATTTTATTTTTTTGAAGTAGACCAAATCAATATCATTCCTTGAAATTTTTACAGAACTTTCTCCGCACGAGGAGGAAAAATCGCAGAAATTTTCAAGACTGGACGTTAAGTAGTTTTTCATTTAAAAAATAAAGTATGACAGGAAGTCTGCGACGTCGCAAACCGAGATACGTGGTTTGGTAGTTTCACCGTCGATACCTACGAATAACACATGAAAGCACTATTGAATCGCCTTTCACCTATATCACAGGAGGGTGTAAGATGTGCATAACCTCAAACTTGCTTGCGCTTGCGGGAGACGTGAACTTGCAATGATCCGATCTGTGCCTCCAATGAGGCGTCGCTCTGATTGAAAAGTATAAAAAACGAGGCCCGATTACGTCTTTTCTATTTGGGGTGTGTTGACGCTTGAATTTTGCCTTTTTTTTAAAATTTTTGTCTCGTCATTTTTATAGGACGTCTTTAGACCCAAATCTGAAGCTCGTTTGTGCCAGCCCCATAAGTCCTCTACCAGAGATAGTCGGGTCAATTTGACCCTACTCAGAGCCGGATTAAGGGGGTGGCCACATGGGCCGCGGCCCATGACGGCAAATTTAGGGGGGCGGCAAATGTTGTAATTTTTTCAAATGTAGGTATCAAGAAAAAAAATCTGATTCAGAAAAAAAAATTACAAACGAGAAAAGGCGAAAAAAGCTCTCATTTCCTGAGAGTTAAAGTACCTATAATAATTTCTAATTTCTTCGTCTTTCGGTGATACAAGAGACATAAGTTGAGAGAGAAACCAAACACGCAATTTGGCCTGGAGCGGCGCGGCGCAGAGAGCAATGATGACGAGGACTTGAGATGGAAAGGAGAAGCCCTCGACGCGCCGGTCAGCATGACACACATATTAGCGCCTACAAGACTCATGAATACTTCCTGCATTGCGTCAAACGTAGTGCGGTCAGCAGCGGTCGTCGTGAAACGCATAGCGCCTACTAGACTCTATGAATACTTCCTGCATTGCGTCAAACGTACTGCGGTCAGCAGCTGTCGGCGTGAAACGCATAGCGCCTACAAGACAGTAGAGATATTTCACGCATTGCGCCAAACACGATACGGTTGGCGCGGTGGTGGAAATTAAAAATATTAAACCACGTTCATGTTTATTTTTTCATAATTTGCTCGTTCTTTTCTTACAAATGAAAGGCCTCGTCCACACAGAGATAGGTTTACAGAACTTAATTTTCGCACAAAGTTCGGTGAACTTTTGCTAGTGTTGACAGGGCTTTCACATGAAATGTGCCCAACGCGAGTAAACGCGTCTTATGTACCCCTCCTCCTCCGGCACGTTCACTTGATGGTTTGTATCGATGTTTCAAAACGAATGAGAAGGGGCGGCAAAATAAAGGTGGCCCATGGGCGGCAAGTAGGTAAATCCGGCCCTGACCCTACTTAGGATTTTTAAGAATAGTCGTCCGAAAAATTCCTTGACACTTGGTTTTTTCTTTCTTTTACAATTTGATGTCTGATTGTTATTTCAAAATGCATTTGTAGACTAATGTCGAAAGCTTGTAAGTACAGTCCAAATAAAATTCGCGGGACAGGCGTTTTTCGCAAGCCTCAGGCCTCAGATCAATAGATCGTATTCGATAGTGTTTCGATGTACCGTTTGGTTCAAAACAGTAGAACATAACTTCACTCAAAAATTTTAAGATTTAAGTTGGAAAAGCTGAAAATGAGAAAGCGTCTAACAATTTCACTTTTTATTGCCTTTTTGTACTCATAAAAATCAAAAATCTATCACGAAACCTGCTCCCTCAGATTACTTAATTGACTTTTAAGGTTGCGTTTACATGTTGAACCAATCGATATCGATACAATCTCACCTGATGTATCGCATACCCTGCATTGACCCGGCTTAAGCATCAAAGGGTTAAAGATAGGAAAATATCCCATCGAGCACTTCCATATCGACTGTGTAAGTCGACAACTACATAACTATGTTTGCAATGTCGCAAACTTCCTGTCATACTTTATTTTTAAACGAAAAACTACTCAACGGCTAGTCTTTAAAACTGCCGTGATTCATCTTCTCTGCGCGAAAAAAATTCTCCAAAAACTTCAAGGAATGATGTCAATTTGTTCTCCTTTAAAAAAATAACATAGAGGCGGAGATTTTCAGACATCGCAAACGAGATATGTGATTGCGGACTTACACTGGAAAAAACAAAAACACATTGGATCTAGAGTCCAGACTCTTAAAAACATCGACAAGAAAAAATACTCTTGATTCAATCAGATTTAAGCTAAAATCAAGGACCAAGCCTCTTAATTTGAGCGGATTTCCTTTTGATTTAAGCTTAAATCTGATCGAATCAAGAGTCCTTTTTCTTGTCAATGTTTTCAAGAGTCTGGACTCTAGATCCAATGTGTTTTTTTTTCCAGTGTACTGCCATTTTGAACTCAAAAAAAGCAAAAATCTATCACGATACCTGCTTCCTCAGATTACTTAATTGACTTTTGAAGTTGTGTTTACATGTTGAACCAATCGATATCGGTACAATCGCACCTGATGTATCGCATACGATCCATCGACCCGGCTTAAGCATCAAAGGGTTAAAGAGAGGAAAATATCCCATCGAGCACTTCCATGTGTGAGAACATTTTCTCCTGGAAATTTTCCATCGGGCTTGTTTCCACTCATCAGAGAAAACGCCATAATTTCTCGACCGAACGCCAACGCTCTATTCACGACCCAAGGTTATAATGCGGAATCGCCGAACCCGCCGCGACTGACCGAAACGTCCCCCTCATCCCCCGCGGTCCCGAACAATGGGAAAGCCGGCGCTGAGCGGGCGCTCCCCACTCGCAACTCGCGGCGGAACCTGCGAATCCATCGCGCGATTAGCGAAAGTGTAAAATCAGATGTATGGAAGTTTTCGCAGCCGCTTATGAATTAAGCGTCGGAGCGGCGGAGCGCCTAATCGCCTAATCCATTTTTCGTGTACGCCGGCGAGGGGAGGGGCGCCCGTAAAGTCTGACGATTACGCCAACCGCGCTGGGCGCAGACGGAAAGCTGCAATTTCGGCGAGCCGCACCCCCTCCCCGCCGCCCCCCCCACGGGCGCCCCTCCCGCAACCGTCGCCCGCCCTTTTTCCCGGAGCAGACGTGGACATGCCGAGCGGTAGGGCCGATGGGATCTTGGGCGCTGAGAGCTCGCATTCAGATTATCGACGGCAGTGGCGTAGCTAGGAATTCTCTAAAGGGGGGGAGGGTCCTTGACGGTAAATTTACATTATTTTGTGTACGTCCCTGATAATTTTTTATGTCTGCCCTCCAAAAGTAAAAAAAGGTACAATCAACGAGTCTGGGGGGGGGGGGTCCAGGGGGCCTGGACCCCCTCCCCCAACCTCCTCTCGATCGACGGTGACACTGGCTACACGCACCTCAATTTATGTCTATCGTTATCACAATGATTTTTTAAGCGTTGTTTTTGTCTGCTAATATATAATCGTTAGAGTAATGCGTAACGCATAACGCCTGAGGCGCGAAGCGCTTCGGAGGGTTGGACTGCGAAGCAGTCGAGGGGCGTACCCCTCAAAGATGAAAAATGATTGCATTCGCAGAAGCGAATATTTTTCATTTTTATTTTGGCGAACGATACAAGATCTGCACGATCCAATTCATAAAAATACTGAACAACAGAACCATTTTTTAGGAAATCATTTCGACTTTAATAGGTACGTTGGAAAATATAATAGTTTGCTGAGCCATGAATCTGATTAACGCCAGATTTGTCGTCACTTCTTTTTGCCATTTTATCAATGAAATGAACCGAACTAAATCCACACTGAGGTTCAATATTATTGGAATGTCGGGAAACGCACAAGCGATTTGAAAGTCCCTTCATTTATGCGGGTATGCAATTTGATATAATAAATATTGTACTAGTTGACGAAGGCGAAGAATTCACATGAGGTTTACGTATAGTGACATAGCTGAAAGATTCTTCCGAAAGTGTGCATCCCATAGTTGACTCGAGCACAAACAAATTAAAGAAAAAAAATGAATGTTTGACCAGATTTAGGACCGGAAGCAAATGATGAAAGTGAAAAAAAAGGCCGGTCGACATCAAAAGAATACTTTGTACTCTTTGGCGTGTATTAATTAATCCTCTTATGGCATAAATTAATTTTGGAATTCAAAGTCGGGGGATACTAATCTATTTTGTATAGCTTGTATGAAAATCATAGAGTACCAAATATTTGTCAATATTTTAAATTTCTGGGAATCAGTTGTTCAAAAAAAGAAAAACTAATCAAAATTTGCAAAATCACGTCACAGAGATAAGATTCAATTTTTTTTTTAAAAAAAATACCCCAAAAAACGATGTTATGAACGCTATGCCAAAGAGGGCACCAAATGAAAGGAAGCTGTGGATGACGTCATTCTCCCTATTTTTCAACGGGAGATGCTCACCCTTGAGGTTTTACCATTTTACCGATCCTTTAGTTTTCGCCACTTTTCACCATTCGACCATCCAACCCCAACTCGGCGACACGCGGAGCTAGGCGACCCATCTTCAACGTCGGGATCGGCGCTACGTGTTCCCCCGGTTATGCCGTCGTTATGTTTTTGTTATAGTAAAGAAAATAAGTGGCTTAAGGCGCGAGTACGGGAGATTAATGTCGGCCGGAGGGGGGAGGGGGGCGGGGTCGCGGAGGGGGGCGAGCCCGGAGCGCAGGGGGTATTTTGAAGAGAGACAAATCAATATAATAAAAGGGAAGCGGGGAGTGCGCGCGCGCGCGTCGGCTACTCCGCTGCGTCCCGGGTTCGCTTGGCGGTCGCACCGTAACTCCCGAGTCACCTGCCCGACGCTTTCGGGTTTCCCGCACACACCGAACCCGACAGCTCTGCGGACATGGACCATGCCTGATGTCCCCATGTGTCCGGACACGCCCTGGAGAGTGAATTCGTCGCCGACGCGGACCGTGGAAGCCCTCGTGCAGTGTGATGTGTCGCGTCTGTGACGTTTCCGTTTCTGTGTGCTGGTCACCGCCGTGTTGACCCCCCGTGACCCGCGACCGAACATGACGCACTGATCATGTTGTGCAAGTGCTTGTTTTTGTGTCTTCTCGCCGCCTGCACGGAGATCACTCTGCAGCAGGATGAGGATATTCCGCACCACGAGTGAGTAGTCGCATTTTTTTGGTTTTCCATTTTGGCGCAAGCTTCTGGTCCAGTTACACGATCAAATTGAGCCATCAAATTGAAGCTCTGATTGGTGGAAAAAGACCTGAGGTGAGGATGCGACCAATGAGAGGCCCAATTTGATGGCTCAATTTGATCGTGTAACTGGACCTCTAGAGTGGGCCGCGGTACGGCCGCATAACCCTAGTGGATTGACGTCAGACAACGTTGCGAAGCAGGACCGGTTTGTTTCAAGACGGAGTCTGACGTCGGACAACGCTGTGAAGCAGGACTGGTTCGTTTCAAGAAGGAGTCTGACGTCCTTGATGGAACAGATCACCCTCACGCTTAGCCATCGTAAACGTGAGGGAAATGACGCCAGACTGATACATGAAACGGGTCAGTTTGATATCAGACGGCCCCTTGGAACAGACCAATCTATCATCAGACTGTTTCATTCAAACTAACCGGTCCGATGTCAGACTTTTTTATGAAGCAGATTAAACTGACTCAAAACCCTCATGAAAGAGAATCGGACTGACGTCAAACTGTTTGATGAAATCAGGAAAGCTATTTGAGCTAGTCTATGATCAGACTGCCTCAAACGAACGTACCATGTTCGACATCAGTCTCTCTTGTGGAATTGATTAGTCCAACGCTTCACCCTGATGAAAGTGTGATAAAGTCTGCTTTATGAAGTGGGCCAGTCCGATATCAGATAATCTCCTTAAACAGACTACTGTGGTGTCATACTTTTTCATGAAACATGCCAATCTGAAATCAGTCTCTTTTATAAAACAGATCAATCGGAGTGAGTAAATCTGGCGTAAGATTCTTTACGAAACAGGCCCAGTCGCTATCAGACTGCCTCAACACCAATCTGCAATGTACAACAGACCAGCCCAAAATCAGGATCTCTCATAAAAGAGATCGGTTTGACATTAGATTACTTCATGAGACGAATCTTTGGACGTCAGTTTTATACAATATCCTTCTGTGCTAAAATGAGGACAGTGTAACTAGCTAGCACGTTCTACTGAGAAAAGATTAGTTTTCTTGACCAGGAAGGCTCCATAAAAAACCCCAGTTAAAGTGACTTAGACTGATCTTAGAACTGTTCTCGATAATGACTGCTATGGACACCAGATATTCCAATAGCAGACTCATTCTTGAAAGAGGTAAACATCTGACTCTGGACTGCTTCATGAAAGAGAAGACTCCCCAAATTCGCCTTCAAATTGTAATGATGCAACATTCATATCAATTTGCTCTTTCTCAGAGTCCATTTCCCCAGGAAAAAATATTATTTTTGATTTTCTCATGACTCCTAAATTCATCAGTAAAACTCAGAAAACTACATGACGCGAGCGCATTCTAAGGTTACTGATCCTTTTTTCTAGTAGTCAGTAGGTAGGCGTGCAGTGGAAGGAAATGCGTTTCGGAAACTCTAAGATATCGTCGTATCTTAACTAAAAAAAAAAAAAAAAAAAATTTCTTCTAACTCATTTTCTCAGAAATACTAACGGACTTGACTGCTCAATATAATTTCACAAAATATTTCCCACGTCAGAGAAACATACCTCGGTTATTTTAAAGTAAGAACGTAGAGCTATCGACTTGTAGGAAAAGAGATCTAAGTGTAGTTTATATTCCAAAAAATTGATAATGGGACCGACTTCATCAGCAAGGAACCAACCCACTTTAGTTGAAACTGAGAAAAAGAGGTTTGAAGTTTTATTCCTGCTTAGGCTCAATGTAAAAAATAAACTTTAACCCCTCTTTTCAAAAACATATTTTGTTCCTAGACTTTCAGTTTTTGGCAAGAAAAAATACACGGCTAGCGAAACTCAAAGCCATTCTTAACTCAATTTTTTCGAAAATGTGGGTTGGCTCCTTTCTAATGAACTCGGTCCAATGGAGGATGCATTTTATTTCTCAATAGGAAAAGCAGTCGCAACGCCGGAGACTGTTTGCTCCTGAGGGCACCAATTTATCCTGAAAATCTATCGAAAGTTTTTGGCGGGAGCACACGTTGGATGTGACGGTCATAGACCTCAAAGCGCAAGACTCAAGGATGCGTAAATTAGAGGGTGCTATTAATACGCATACAGCGCGTCGATGGAAACTATAAAGGCCCATGCATTGCATAAAAACCTTTCCTTTTGTAAACTACACATTATTTTATTTTTATCACTTTCATAACTTTTTGAAAGAGAGATTCGATTTAATTTGAATTAATTCAAAGAATGCCAATAAGATTTTCTAGAATGACTGTCGCCACGCAACAAAATCGCTTAAAAATCTTATGAGCATAGCGTGAGCAAGAGAAAGGGCAGCTTATTTTCTCTCTTCAAATTGGTGGCTAGGCAACCCTCAACAAGCATACGAGAAAGGTCACCGCCCTTCCAAGAAAGGTAATAGGGAAAAAAGGGAATGTCATTTTCCTGGAAATCGGTCTCACTCCCACTACCTCTCCTTAATTTGCATACGAAGGTTACTAAGTCTGTAAATGTAAGGCGTGTTAACGGAAATGTGTCAATCCATTGGACCGTTTTCAGCACTGATTGGCTGTTGTCGTTGTTGCACTGAGTTGTTGTAAATCTGTTGTTTTTCCGCACTATCTATGAGGTAAACTGGCTCGCCAAAATCCTTGCTGCAGTCGACAGAAAAGTATTCCAGGACTGACCCAGTGAATTATTGGAGAGAATTAAAGTGGTTCTGTAGCAATTTAGAGAAAGATTTGATTGTCGCGGTTATTTCTGCATCTTATTTCCGGTTTTTTTTCCTTTTTGTTAGAATTCCTAAATGTCAAGTATTTGCACCGATTTGCAAGATTTAACCGAGAAACTTTTTGAAATAATTCCGAAAATAAGTCCCGAGTGAAAATCGCAAAATTTTGTCTTCCTATCTGCGATATTTACTCAGGACGAACTTTTTAAGCGATTTCAATGCGTTTTTGGTCAAATCTCGTGGATTACAGCGTGACCACAATCACAGTGGTGACAACACCAGTTCGAACATGTCCATTTGGCTCTATCAGGAAGAGCAAATGAAGTTATTTTACTCACAGCGTTTTATTTAAACTCCGACCAGATCGCCTTCAAAAATGTGTCAGGCAATTTGAGCGTCTTTGGAGCAGTAATAGTTGCTTGTATCCGTTTTGAACATTTTCATTCGATTCTACTATGAAGAGTACATTGAAGAGGAAGAACCAGCAGTGTTCAAACCTCACCTGGAGTCCTTAGGATCCGTTTGACTATGCCAAACTTATAGACGTCATCTATATTTTGTGAGGAACCAGGAAGATTCTTGATAACGCAGCAGGTATTTTTGCAGGAAACGAGGAAGCAACAAACGTGAAGGATGCGTCAGTTTTTGCAGGCGTCTCACTCTAATTTTTTTAGCGCAAGTGGAGTAAGCTACCATGATAAGAAAAAACGCCATAAGAACATTCGAGAGTTGCCAAATTTCCCCGGATGAAACATGTATTTTTGAGAAGAATTATTTATATTCTCCCTTGAAATTTTCAGATATCGTAGATCAAATTGGGAAAAAAATTGTTTGAAAAATTCGCAGGAAAATATTCAAAATTTTCCCAGTAAATTCTGTTTTTGTTGAAGTAAATCTGGCAACGTCTAAAGGCTCATCCGGCGTTTTTTTCTTATTACGGCAGTGCTGCCGTGCTAAGGGAAAACGCCGTATGAACATTCGAGCGTTGCCAAATTTACCTTGATAAAACATGTATTTTTGACAACATTCATGCATATTTTCCTTTAAAATTTTCAGATATTTTAGATTAAAAAGCGTACAAAATTATTTGCAAATTTTGGAAAAAAATATTCACAATTTTCCCAGTAAATTCAGTTTTTATCGAGGGAAACTTGGCAGCGTCTGAAGGCTCATACGGCGTTCTTCCCTAGCACGGCAGTACGGCGCTCGCGGTCGGCGAGGTCAAAGCACCGGGGTCGTCAAAGCGAACGCACCAGACGAGCATTGCAAAAAACACAATGTATTTTCACCACATAATGCAACGTGGGTTCCGCTGTAGGATGTTTGCAATGAGAGAATAGAGGAGATGTTTGCCTCTTGAGACCCGGCAGAGTTCGCCACCCTCAAAGTTGAGGAAAGAGCAGGGTTTTGTCGGTGCCCAAGTATGCAGTCTTTTGTCGCCCAAGTTTCCCCATTACAGGTTTCCGTTTGCGAGTCCTCAAGTTTTTCCTGCGTCACTCTCTTTTTCCTCTCCTTTGTCGCGTCTCAAACGAACAATTAAACATCCGTCCCGGCTCGAGGAACCAAGAGCGTCTATCTGCTCATCTCCGAACGCATCGGAGTCCTCGCCGCCGAGTTCATGGCTCCGCTGCAAAGAAGTCCGAAAGTCTGTGCGAAAATTTTCACACCGAGTTAGATTCTTATCATCGTTAACATTCGTCTACACCGTGGGAATTACAGGAGGGGCCTTGGAGGAAAAGGCGCGTAAGTGCAATGTTTGCTGTTTCGAGAAATACGTGTTTAAAGTTTCAGAATTACATGGAGCCTCATGGCGGAAAGAAAGTTCAAACTGCCTATTGATGCTGAAAAATTGGAATTTTGGAAGCGAATTTTTCCAAGAATATGCATTAAGACTATTTTTACGTGAAGTCAATAATGACTCAATTTTTTCAAAAACTGCACTTATGCGCCTTGTCCTCCAAGCCCCTCGAGTAGTTTTTTTTTTCTGTACACAAACACAGTTCGAGAATGGGTTTTTCCGTTTGCTCAGTGGTGCAAATTTCCTGGGAAAGTTAAATGCCTAGAACTACCTATCAGGAAAGTTCCCGGAGCCACTTTTAAATTCAAAATGCGAGAGATGACCGTGTTCGCGCGCGAGTATGTATTTGTATGTGTGTGTTTCTTTACCAAAATTTTCTGGAAAAGTAGAGTTTAGATGAAAATTCCTCGAGACGTCTCCATACTAAGAATCTTACGTTTCCCACAACTTCAGATTTCGATCATTTCAGATT